GGGAAAGAATATATTTGGAAGGTGAAAGGGATAAAGAAAAACAGGACACGCAAGACACAACTTTATAACACCACTGCAGCTTATGGTCCACCTCATAATAAGTATTTTATACAAAAAATTGTCACCAATGTTCTCCCCCTCACAGTGCTCCCTTAAAAGACCACTATCTCTTAGCTATGTTATTATTAACAAACAAGTAGCTTAGGAATGCCTGTGCAGGGTAACTTCAAGCAACTGGACCAAACATAGCTGCAGAAAGACCACTTTAATTTTTTGTATGTGAAGACAGGGGTTGTTAGAAGTGACCAATCTAAATTTATTTCCCTTTTAGTAAAGGTACAGGTTTCCCTTGCTCGAAAGCCAGTTCAATCTGACTCTAGGGGGCAGTGCTCATCTCTGTTTCCAAGCCGAAGAGCCAGCGCTGTCCGAAGACTTTTCCGTGGTCATGTGGCTGGCATGACTAAATGCCAAGGCGCACGGAACGCTGTTACCTTCCCACCAAAGCGGTACCTATTTATCTACTTGTAATTTCTTGCTTTTGAAGTGCTAGGTTGGCAGGATCTGGGAGCAGAGACGGGAGCTCACTCCGTCAAGCGGCACTAGGTTCTCGAACTGCCGAGCTACTGACCTTGCGGCCTGCAGCTCAGCGTCTTAACCTCTGAGCCACTGCAGCCCTATGTTTAAACTGATGAATAAAATGCTTCTCCCCTTTTCCATCTAAACTGTGAATGGATTAAACCAGAGAACTCTGGTACAATATGACAAGGGGAAAGTATGCCTCAAGTACAATGACTTCTCCGAAGAGAGAAGGAGCCAACTAATGTACAGCATAAAGGAGTTCCCTCAACTTTTTTAAAAAGGCCAAGGCCAGAAGTTGCAGAACAATGATGACACCACTGGATATTTATCTCCTTATTTGTGTCTAATAAAAACTGAACAACACTTACAAGTGGACACACAAACAGATGCAAGTCACTTGCCCCACCCCACCCCACCTGCTCTGTGCCCTCTCCAATCCTCATAGTTGTTCCTACATTTCGGTTGACAAGCTGTCCATATTCAGGAGGATAGGCACTGTTCAAGAACTGAAGCACTTTCACTCTCCCAATCGATTCCTCAGCAGCCACTGACTATCACTGAACCTCACCCCGACATCAACCACAGAGGGGCAGCCTTTGTTAGCAAAGCTACTCTACAAGGTTCTAGAAAATGGGTAAATCTGTAGCATGGAGTTCATCAGAATATTGTTATGCCTTTCTGTGACCAAAGGTATGTGCATCCTATTATGAAAGTCGATGACATCCTTAATCACTTCCCCCAAGCCTCTTCCGAACTGATTTATTTTTCCCTCTAGCCTTGTCCATGTGCAAAATGTACATGTGAATATCGGTTTGTTAGGAACAGCCAACTCACATTCACTTTACAAATGAAACTGGGGAGCCAGTACCTGGATATACGTGGGCCTTAAATCACACTCTGTTATATATGTGTTGAATGTAACACAAGAATTACTCAATGCATGTATGAAGAAAAATCAAGCATACACTGTAGCTTGTGAAGAGGGCTCTTCTGATTGCTCACTACCAATCCTCCTTCAAGTGTAACTTATGATCTGTGATTTTTGATTCTTTGGGTTGGATTTTGCAAGGTAGTCTGCTACCACAATAATTCTGTGAAAGGATTTATAGCTGACCAGCTTATTTCAAAGCTTTACTTTAAATGCTTGTGTGGCTACAAGCATGCATGAGAATGAGGCAGGGAGGGGGCAGAAGGTAGTGACTGCTAGTTCCAAGGCATTTCTCTATAACCTGGAATAGGCTGGTTGTAAGTGTGTGAGAGTCAGACCAGAAATGGTTCAGCATAAGCCATTACCTTCATGAACATCATTCTGCTGCTTAACAGACTGTGCTGCACCCTGACAAACTTCCTATCAGAATTAAAAACCTGGGGTGCAGTCATAACGCTGCAAGCCTCTCACTGAGTGCAAGACCTAATATATAACACCTTTTACTTTATTCACAGATATACAGTATTTTGACCAACCAGTAGAGGGCCTGAAGCTACTGCAACTCCGAATCTGTTGATCAACTATGTGTATGTGAAGTGCTAAATGGTGTATATGATTAGGATACTTCCTACTTGCAGCAACTAAACTGGTGCTTGTAGCAATTTCTATTGCCAGAACAGGATTGCCAAAAGGCCTAGAGAAGTGCCTTCTTCCTTTCACAGAGGCTCAATGTGTGGAAATAGGCATTTGAAAGTTTTCATGCCACAGAGGTACAATATCACCTGATAAACAACACCCCATTAATCTCCTAATAAGAAGGCATGGTATGTTTTCTACAGGCAGCTGGCAACCCTATGATAGAAACTAGCTTTGAACATGACTCATCAAAAAGGATCATATACATTAATAGCTCTCATTTTGCTTTAGGATGAGAGTTTGGAGATAAGAATACCAGAGGCCTTCTGTCTAACATAGCTGAATTGTTTCAGTTTCAAATTTAAGAGCCCCATCTTCCAAACTAAGGAAGATACAGTGCACTCTACTATTAATAATTATCTCATTTATATAAACAACAACTGTATTTTAATATTCAGGAGAATTAAACTATTGCCATTCCTTTGCACACTTAAAAATCTCCCTCTCAAAACTTTTTAATTTTCCTATATGTTCCATAGCACAGAAAGGAAAATGCAAGCTGGAACATGGAGAGATTTAGAAAGACAGAGCGCTCAAGTATTATCGTAATCCTCGCACAGAATTCCTGTTAAATAGGGAATACAGATCTCACAGTATAAAGCTACTTTTGTTAGTCTTGTAAAACCTGAACAACCATCAAATCCTACAGCAAACTAACATTTTTAGAACCTACTTTATACCTTGTTTAGTATAGACTGAAATTTCAACAATTTCCTTAAATTTATTTCTGAAATAAGGGGAACCTACAGAATGTTCATATAGTACATAACACAGCATTCTTCGACCCAAACATTTCTCTCTGCTGGTTAAGTAGTGGAAGGTATTTAACAGTGCTTCAGCCTCAGGAATAATCTAGACACGAGCCTGTCATATAGACAGCCCTTCTGAATTCAAAAATATATGAGATTCAGTAGTGCTCTTTGTGTGTTAAAACAAGATAGTCATGTCCTAACTAAGTCTCTCGCATCTGATCATCATGAGGTGCTGGTTCAGCTGTTTTAATACTGTCTAAGTTGGACACACTGCTGCTTTATTGTGCATTTATCAGTTATGCCTGACGTCAGGAAGACACACAATGCAGCATTCTCTGTGACAAACATTTCTTTCCGCTTCTTTCCAAGTAGCAGAAAGCATCTGATAATACTGCAGCCTCGGGATCTTGGGTGATTCTTAGAAGAAATCAGACCTGGAGAACATTTGGTGGAAAAAATATCATAGAAGGTAAGAACAGCTCAGTTATTGTCTAATTTTAGGACAGAGGATTGCCAAAGTTTTTTTCATTTCAAAACTTAAAGTGATTATTTCCATCATAGGAGATTATAGAGATTTTCAAATAAGAACTTTTACTTCCAGACTTTGTTTACTCACTGCCCTTTTGACCAGTTTGTGATTTCCCTTCCCATATTTCCTCTCACCTGGACTATGAGGACGCCATCTCTCACCATCCCTCCTTGAACCAGCCAGTCTCCAACCTCCGTCATCATCTTCACCATTTTGCTCTTCTCTGAAGATGCGCCAGTTTTCGCTCTCAGAGCGTATAAATTCATGCTTCCTTCCTGCTGCTACTGTTCCACCTTCCTCAAAGTTTGGTCTTGCTGCAAACAAAATAAGTGTGCAAGTGATAAATACATTCATCATGAAGAACATCTGGAATGTAATTAAGAACTGCTGAATTTAGATCACAAAAGTACCAAGGTGAAAGGACAGACCAAAGATATTTTTCTCTGCCTTTCTTCTAAGGATAGATTCTTCTGCTATCCTGTGTAGGATAAAAACCAAATTTAGGATTTTAAGCTTCAAAAAGCAGATTTATAGGGCAACACTAAGCTGAGTTACTCCACTGTAAGTCCACTGATTTCACTATGAAACCAATGGGCTTACACTGGAGTAACTGCACAGGACTGTGCTCAAGCACAGGATTGTGCTACAACACAGCTGTAACCATTTAAGAATGTCAAAAGTTCACTCAGCAACAAGTGATGGAGGAGCATCTGCAGAGTTTGTTTGCATAAACAGTTTCATGCCACCTGATGTTCAATGAGATCGCTTTTCAGCATTATCAAGACACTATTCCTAGTCACTGCAAAGTTTATCATGGCACAGCAATTCTGTTTTTGTTTGCATGGGAGGTGTTCTTAAACACTGCACTATCCAACTCATTTGAAAAGCTTTATTTCTATCTTCTTTCCTATCGAACATCTACTAGGGATAATTAAACATGATCTTATTTTAGAACAATGATTACAGCAATTCTGGAGAAATTATATTTTGATCAGTAGCCACTGCTAGCGTTATATACAATTAATGTATGTAGAATACTGCATTTGAAACACTGATATGGAGGAGCCAGTACTGTGTAGCGGTTAGAGCATCTGAGAGACGAAACCCAAGTTCTGTTCCCCATTCATCTCTGAAGCTCACTGGGTGACCTTGGACTGGCCATTCTTCTCTTAGCTTAACTCATAAATGTTTTAAGAGGACACAACAAAAAGGGGAGGAGCCATACATGCTGGTTTCTTATCTGAATATTTGACATTTTGCTCTGCATCAGCCATAGCATCCTATATGGCTGCAATGATTTCAGTTAGGATAAAAGTTAGAAAATGGGGGGGAGGGGCATGGTCATATTTAAAGTTGCGCGACCCTATGCACACTTTCTAGTGTGAGCCAAATTGAATTTAGCGTGATTGTTTTCAAATTAGCATGCATGGGATTGAGATGCAAAGTTACTAATTCTAGAATAACACAAAAATATATTCATCAACAAATTGTAACAGATTTCAAAGCCTAAGCAAATCAAAATGCAGTTACACAGAATTTCATGAAATTATATTCAAAATGCTAGATACTATATTCTGAAGTTACTGAAAAATGAGGAACCAAATAGAGACGTGGTCATTGAATTTAAAAACAATGCTTCACAAATCCTAAAGTTCTTTAAGTATGTATGTAAGTTTACGCCCCTAGCATATTACTGGATTTAAATTATTTAGTACAGAGGTCGGTGTTTGGCCATGATTTCCCAGGATGAAAAGAAAAAAGAAAAAGATCTGTGGCTTTGCCTCAAACTAATTGACTGGACTTCCTGAGGAGAAGGAGCAGTGAAAGGGCACCTGCATTCCATGTCTGACCCAAAGCCAGCTATGGTGTTTATGGAAAAGTTCAGATACAACAAAGATATCCAGCCAACAAAGTCTACAGCTATGTAATCTGAAGTTTTAAAAGGGACTAACTTCAAAGTACTAAAGTGGTGTTCTGGAATACAATCTTTTGAGAACTTGTTTATTGAGGATTTTTTACTAGAATAGCAAACAGCAATGTCAACAATCTTTCTATAAGAGATACAAACACCCATACTGTTCCCTACTACAATAAAAAGCGTTTCTTCTAGTATCTCTCATGTTCAAATAAATACATTGTGACAAACTTCCCACAGTAAAATGGACAAATTTCCCAAAGTGAAATGGAACTTCTGATGGATAGGGAAAATTTTTTATGGCTGGCTTTTTAGCAGAAAAGACCACTCTATTTGCACACCCCTGAAACAACGTCCAACTTAAAGGGATCTGGTAGTATCTAGCCATGATTTCAAGAATGAATCTAGACCAGCATTTGTTCCACCTGGATTCAATTTGTCAAGCCTAGACGATTTATGTGTATGTGCTTCTTCGTCCTAGAATTAAAGTGTTTCTACTTGAACAAGAGCAACATTGCATGATTAATATTTTGACATTCTGCAAGATTTTCTTACACAATAGTACACGTTGCTGAGGTTTTGGGAAAAGATTAATTACATGATATGGCAGATTTCTTTTTACACTGATGAATACTGCTCATCATTCTAATCTATAGCACAGACTACATTTCCAAAATTGTTTAAACATACATGCAAATTATGTCTACATTATGAGACAATTCATCTTTTTAAAAACAGAAATTGGTATAATACTACCACCAAATGCATACAATGCCTGTAGTTTAAAAATAAAACCACAATCTTATGCTAAGGGATCAGGACAGAATCAAAACAAATTGTAGACTTAAATGAGCAAAGTATCTCATCATCATCATCACCAAGAAGGTCACAGAGCTTGTCTCTCAGTTTTATGGTGCTATGCCCCAACATGTATTGAAATGTTCTCCACTAATGAAATCCAGAATTAATGTTTTGTATTTTATAGGTTTTTTAAAAGGAGAAACATGAGGGAGATTTCAGTTTCTAAGTAGCATTATATTGGTCTACATTAATAATTTTCACAGCAGGTCTTCAGTACTTTTACTACAAACAATCACAGTCTTTGTTCCTCAGATCCTCTTACGTCTGACGTTTGATCAAAGTCCTCACATCAGCAGCTAACTAAGGAAAAATGTGAAATGTTGTTGCACTACAAAGCAACCCTCACAGATCACATAAGTGGTTCTGGAAGGTGGACCTTATAGGCTAGTTTTCAGCTAATGTCTTTACTAGTCAGTTGCTACACAGTATATTCCATGCCGCATAAATCTGGAAGACCACAGATTTACATGATGCAAAATATATGGCTCATTTTTACCTTAAGATCACTGTAACCATGCCTTCCATCCCAGCAATACTGCTTATATATATGCTTCTACTTCCCCTGATTTCAAGGCAGTCCTAGGAACAAAACAAGCAAAACAGGAAAGGCAAAAAAAAAAAAAAAAAGCTCCAATCCATTAGAGAGGCCTTGACACCTACAGGTATAAGCATGTAGCAGACTAAGAAGCAATCTTGTTCTACTGCATATAGGTATCTCCGCTATGGGTAGTATGTTTGTCAATCCCAAAACACAGCAATTGAAAAAAAACCAAAGAAGCTGGAAGAAAGTGAAACAGAAACTATACCTTCACCTCAACCTACCTGACTTTCTTACTAGAAAACATTACCAAGTGTGAACACTTTACTAGTCTGTAACAAAAAAGGCTGAATAGAAAACAGTTCTGAAGGATTTCATCCCTTTGAACTTTCAAGTAAAACCTTAAATAAGATTATGCAAACCTAAAAACCCCATCCTGATTAAGAAGGGGGAAATTCATCCCTTTCTCCAAGTATGTTCTTATGAATTTCTCCACAGCTGCTAGGGTAAAGAAAGCTCCAACAAACCAGCATTCTTTTCCACATGACCACAGCTAATTGGCCCCCCTGCAGACCAAATGACCAATCACATCAGCTTCATATGAAAACCTACCCCCCCACATTATAAACTGTGGAATGAGACCTGTACGCCCATTTTGAACAAACATCCTTCCATACTAGATGCCAAAACGTTTTTTTCTTCTTCATTCCATTGGGATCCCTGTATACAGAAGAAAGTTTGGTCCAATTTCCCTATCCAAGCCATACACCTCCCTCCCTTTCCCTGCCAAACGGATAAACCAACAAGGATACTGGTAAGTACATGATGCTAACAGAGCATCATTTTATTCATATTTCTAGTTGTGTAGTTTGTTAAGACAAAAATTAATTTTTGAGGATTTAGCAGACTTTGAAAAGATTTTCTGTTTGCGGAATATTTTTATAATTAGTGGAGCTGATTATTTCATTTGGTCTTTTCAAACTTTCATTGTGTTCAGACAACTTCTAGAGCCAGAACACATTTCTATACAGGTAGATCATTAGAAATAACCACAGCATCTTCCATGGTCATCTGGCTTTAATTAGCAAAAAAAGTATGAAGTAGTTCCTAGCCGTTCAGTTCCACAGAGACATTTCTTTACAAATTAACTACCCTGACATTAGAGCCAAATTTTAATCCCCACTAAAATTTAAAATTGCTACAACAATCTTAAATGCAAGCATTTATGAAAACTGGCTGTAAGTACACAGCCAGTTTTCATAAAACACTAAAACACTATACAACTGTGTACTTAATGTAAGATGTAGCAGCGTTTATTTTAAGGATTCAAGATTTTAAAAAATTAAATCCCAGGCCCAATCTCTCATCTTTAGCTCTAACAATCTTGAAAACATTACTTTGTTACTTTAGTTTCAATATAACTTGACCAATCTGAAAAATGTAGGAATTAACCAGCAAATTTTGTAGTAATATAAAGTAATTTTCACTGGATTATTGCAGTTCCTCTTATTTTCTACTGTCAAGTAATTCTAGAGCTGGTTGAAATATCGTTTTTTCCTCTGTTGCATACAAATGCAGACATACTGCACATTTTGAACCTAAATGATTCCTTAGCAATTAAAGTGAACTTTATAAACATGATATGGTTGCGGAATATTCTCAAAATCTATCACATGCAGATTAACTTGAAACTCTAATAAATTCAATTATTTAAGCAGAGCCTAGTTACAATCCGGCATTCACCCATAGTAATCTCATTTCCTGTAGCTAGGAGATGCAGTCTGAAGAAGTGAATGGCACACAGAAATTTGAAAGAAATAAAAGAACAGCAACATATCATTGGGGTATTTTAAAAACTTCAGTAAAAATAAGCTTTAAAAATCTGGTGAGGCATTTTTGGTATCTAATTCTTAACTGTCTGAATTGCTATATGAGCCTGTGATGCCATCACAGATTTAGTGCTAGGTTGGTGTATTTATGTCTTGTGATGTAGCCTTCAT